CTATGTACACAACTTTTTAAAAAGTACAATGAATGCTGGAGACTTCAGGTTTAGAAAAGCCCCCAAGCTTTTTCAAGCTTTTGAAAAGCCCCAAACAGCCCATACAATCTATCAGTTTTGCCACAGATGTATTCCTACAACAATACAGCTTTGCATACATCCCCTTTCCATTACTTCTGTTTCAACATATTCCCGTCCCCCAGAACATTCATAGGTGCTACACCTAAAGGAGGAGTTTTGTAACGTATGCCAAAGATAACGTAATTATAGGAAATATTTTTTGATTTTTATTTTATTTTATTTTATTTTATTTTATTTTATTTTATTTTTTGAGTTGGAGTCTCACTCTGTCGCCCAGACTGGAGTGCAGTGGCCGCTCCCGGCCACCGCAGCCTCGACCTGCTGGGCTCCGGCGATCCTTCCGCCTCAGCCTTCCAAGTAGCTGGAACTACAGGCGTGCACTACGACACCCGGCTAATTTTTTGATTTACTGTAGAGATGAGGTCTCACCAAGTTGCCCAGGCGGGTCTCGAACCCGCGGGCTCAGGCAATCCACTCACCTCAGCCTCCCAAAGGCGCGGGATTACAGGCTGAGCCACCAAGCCCGGCTTAATTTTTATTTCAAAGATGTGTGGTACAATTCAGGGTCTGGTATACAAATGGTCATTGTACAGGTGAAGTTTGGGCCTCACTTTGATCCCCAGGTCACCTGATTTGAGATGTTGCAGGAAATCACTAAACTGCAGAAGAGAAAGGTACCCCCCTCTTCAGTACCCTCTGCCTCAAGCATCAAGAGGACTCTTCCAGAGCAGGATTCCAGGGTAGGCCTATGAATGACAAGATGTCAGCTGGATGTGCTTTCTGCTTGGTGAGCTAAAAGGGACTGGAGAGACCTCCAGGAGCAGGTGATAAGGAAGGAACTGATGCTTCAAGCCTAGTCCTGGTCTGGCTCTCAAGAGATAAGAATTTGAAAGATAACCTGAGGTTACTGTGCAGGCCTTCAGGAGAAAAGGAACCAGCAGGAATTCTGGGAAGAACTCAAGGCAAAAATAAAGACAACCAATTTGACTGGAGTGAGGACGAAAGCAAGACGGTCACAGGTCCAGGGAGAGAAAAATAAAGAGCTCAGCATCAAGAAAACACTTTGAGCATCTCATTCCTTCAAACAGTTGTATCAAAGTTTAATTAGTAATTACATTAAAAGCATTCACAAAGATATTTTATTTGGTACATCAAGGATTGAAATAAATATCATTTGTAGATGTTTTTATTTGAGTTAAGAGAAACTCAAATTACATGCCCCACAGTTTTATTTTGAAAGTCATATTATAACACTTTAAAAGCAGGCAGTTACTATTTCCAATAAAAGGAAAAGTAGGCAGTGGAGTGTAAAATATTTTCATTTATTTGCTCATTTTATTGATCTGAGCACCAAAAAAGCTTAGTTTTCATTTACTACCGTAATCAAAGAAAAGAAAAATTAGGAGGGGTAATTGGGACTAAAAATCATATTGAAAATAGTGCTATGGTATACCTATTACTATTTACTACAAATTTTAATGTTGTTCCAGTTCCCATTTTCAAAAATTTAAAGTCACAAATTGGATTACAAGGCTTTGATATAATACAAAGTTTATATTTACAACTGAAAGGCACTTAATTCAAGTGTTGGAAAACAGGAAGTACAAAAAGATCACTCTGACCTTCTTTTTTTTTTTTTTTTTTTTGAGTTGTCTCACTCTGTCGCCCAGACTGGAATGCAGTGGCCGCTCCCGGCCACCGCAGCCTAGACCTGCTGGGCTCCTGCCATCTTTCCGCCTCAGCCTTCCAAGTAGCTGAAATCACAGGCATGCGCTACCACGCCCGGCTGATTTTTTGATTTATTGTAGAGATGAGGTCTTGCTGCCCAGGCGGGTCTCGAACCCGCGGGCTCAGGCAATCCACTCACCTCAGCCTCCCAAAAGCACAGGATTACAGGCTGAGCCACCGAGCCCAGCTCCATTTATGTTTTTAAAGTTCTTAGGGTATTAAAAAATTCAGGAATATTAAAAGGTTTCCAAAAATGTGACTTTTTTTTTTGAGTTGCAGTCTATGTCGCCCAGGCTGGAGTGCAGTGGCACACTCACGGTCACTGCAGCCTTGATCTGATGGGCTCAGGTAGTCCTTCTACCTCAACATCCCAAGTAGTTGAGACTATAGGCACATACAACCATGCCTGGCTAATGTTTTTTGATTTTTTGTAGAGACGAGGTCTTGCTATGTTGTCTGGGCTGCTTTGGAACCCCTAGGCTCGGGCAATCCTCTCACCTCACCTTCTCAAAGTGCTGGGATTACAGGCATGAGCCACTGTGCCTGGTGAAAAATGTAACACATTTTTTATATTTACTCTTAGTATTTTAAATCTTTCAACTTAAAAAAAATACTACTGTATGAATAACCTCATTTAGATGTAAATTGAGAAAACATGCTTCATACCCTTGCTGAAAACATCTCCCAACTATCTCTGCAAGTTCTGTGAATTAGGGAAAACTAATTAATACTCTTCGCTCATTGCTGGTTACCTATCTGGCTACCTCAAGAGTGGTTACCCAGTTCTGTATTTACAGCACAATGTCTAGCATCTAATAAACATTCAATAGGCCGGGATCGGTGGCTCAGCCTGTAATCCCATGCTTTGGGATGCCAAGGTGAGTGAATTGCCTGAGCCTGAGGGTTCGATACCCGCCTGGGCAACTTGGCGAGACCTCATCTCTACAATAAGTAAAAAAAATTAGCCGGGTGTGGTAGCGCACGCCTGTAGTTCCAGCTACTTGGAAGGCTGAGGCGGAAGGATGGCCGGAGC